AGAGGGGAGGGTGGGAGAGAAGAGGGTGGGGGAGAAAGGGGGGAAGGGAGGGAGAGCATAAGTCTGTGGTTCCAAAAAAGATTCACTCACGCAATCTAAGAATATTATAGTCTCTTGTTTTAATAGAGATTCACTAACCCAATTTGATAGTATAAGTCTATGGTTTCCACAAAGATTCACTCACTTAATCTAAGAGTATAAGTCTATGGATGGTTTCATGAAAGATTCACTCACTCTATCTGAGAGTATAAGTCTATGATTTCAAGAAAGATTCACTCGCCCCAAAGGGGTTATATAATACAAGAGCTCGTAGCAGTGACATATCTGTTGAACTGCGCATTTCTTCCCTTGGGGTTCAACATTCCAGAGTGGGCACACGCAGCCCCGTTCTTTTACTTTGGGGACATTACTACCACGAACTCTAGTACTAAATAGAACCTCTTGGGAGGGGGGGGGCATTACTGCCACGAACTCTAGTACTAAATAGAACCTCTTGGGGGGGGGGGGGGCATTACTGCCACGAACTCTAGTACTAAATATACCTTCTTTGAGGGGACATCACTACCACGAACTCTAGTACTAAATATTATACCTCTTTGTCCTACCCAATCTTTAAGTCTCTGGTTTGAAGGAAGATTCACTCACCCAACCTTTAAGTATGCGTCTATTAATTTCAGAAAAGATTCACTCACCCAATCGTGACGGCCGTATCGGAGTCCGGGGTGTACGACACGACACCTGTGTCGCTGTCAATAGTCACACCAGAGGTTGAGTCGTCTGAGAGGTGAAAGGTCAAGTCCTGGCCGTCGGAGTCAGAGCCGCTGAACGTGATGGTCGCCTGTTGGCCGTGACTGACCACCCAGTGACCGGCACTGTTGAGCTGATTCTTGTTCAGACTTACTTCGGGAATGTTGTTGTCTGCAGCAGTCACGGGAGACAAAAGTTAGAAGAAGAAGAGGTAAGTAACAACGTTAGTTTATTCAGTGTTTAAGCCCACTGGCCCACATCACATCACACACAAAACACTCTTGTTAAATAAAGTTCACGAAGAAGAAGAAGAAGAAGAAGAAGAAGAAGAAGAAGAAGAAGAAGAAGAAGA